GACAAAAACCAGAAAACCGGTTCAGAGCGCCTGCTAAACAGCTCTAAGCTACCTCACTTTGGCCAGAAGAATTGCGTGGTTATCTGTATCGAACGCGTTTTAAGGTCTGTAAAAGCCACTCCCACACGTCACCACAATCAACACTTCTACTCTATGGGTAGCATTGCAGTTGTAGATTTGGCATGGGGCGAAATCCCAAGGATGCATACAGCTAATGCCATTGTAACACCCCTCAATCAATCGCTCACAGCCCGCCCCATTTTACCTACCATTGGTAAGATCTAAAGTTAGTTTATACCAAGGCATTGCTTCAAAATTCCTATCGGTTTCAGGACATGGCCATCCGACCGATTAATAATGGACCAGCCATCGGCCACGGACGTATATAACAACCTCGACTTGCAACGCCTTTGTATGAAAAAGAAGCCAACCAGCGGCCATTTTACCGAGCCGAATAGATATGAGTAGGTTGGCTTGCTTGTATTGACGTCAAGAAGAACAAAGGCAGACCTTGCCGGAAAGCTTTGTATTCGGCTCGTTAAAATGGCCACTAGCGGATTCAATGATCTCTATAAGCTGATTAAGGGCATTTGCGAGTCCACATTTTATTATACACGTCCGTAGCATCGGCTTATACTATTCCGTGCATCCTGTAAGTTATAGGATGGAATGTAGGGGGAGAGATTGCTTTGGGGCCTGGGGACTGAGCTGGAGGGCAAGCGGCTTGTTGGGCATTGATCGGATGACAGCAGGTGGTAATCATTAACCTGGTTTGAGATTTTAGGGAGCTAAATAGGTAAAATTTATTTTACAATTTGTTTTTTATCCTAGGTACATGTACATGTACGTTAGAATAACAATATATTGGGGGGTTTATGTGGCTGTGGGCTTCATTTTCCCTCACATGTCAAATCAGCTATTTTTCTACGTAATGTTCATGTCCAAACCATGTAAAATTTATCACTGACTGGACAAATATAACTATTTACTCCTGATTCACTTTTGTCTTTTAGCAAACATAATATCAACATTTCGGATTCTCATTTTATTTGAAAAAAAGCCTGTTTAAATGGAATTTATCACTTATTCAACCACTCTTCTGAAGAATATTTAGGTGAAATTTTTCCACAAATGACGGTTTCGCAAAACTGACAAAACGCACTTTGGTTCAACACGGGTACCATTTACGACAGGGATGTCTGGAAATATTGACAGCTTCCAAAAATAGAAATTTACATCCACAAATTGTAATTTACCTTTCTTTCGTGCACATTGCCTGTGTCAGGCTTGTAGACGATTACATAGGCTACATATAGGAGCGTATTTCATTGAGGGCAGGGTTGATCTTGCACGAGTTTCATTAGTATAACATATTTCCAGTGGACTTGAGACTTCATTCTTTGAAGTGTGGGAAAATCCTTCAAAACCACATTTAAATATTTCCCCTCTCTATTTTTTTTTTAATTTCGTGCTGCCGTGTAATTGAGAATAACCTTATGTTGATATAGATCAATTTCCACATATCTACAAACCCACACGGACATGCACCAATACATGTGTATACAAACAACATAATCTCACATATTAAGGGAGAAAGAAGATCTGATGTTCCACAATATTTTCTTGAGGGGGTTAAAATATATCAAATATATATGCAAGGCATATTTTCAATCCAATTTTTTATTTTTTGTTTTCAATATCACTTTAGATTTAATTCCTTCCTTTGCTTGACTCTCGGACCAAAATTTATTCTAAAGAATAGCAGGCATATGGTGTGGCAACACGGCAAAATATATCAAAGAATGAAGTCACTGCGGAATAATGATGGAAAAAAGAAAATAAAGGAAAGACGGTCAATACCTAACGCCAGCCACACATGGCATGTCCATCAACAGTGAGTTGTGTTGAGTGAATAACGGAGGGGCTGTTGCTCCACTGAAGCCTTGGGAGTCAAGACGAAGGATTTATCGGCGAGCATTGGCCCCTCGGGAACACTTCACCTGACAGCCAACCGATAATTATTAAATTCATCGGTTGGACCGTTCAGTCCTACGCCCACCCGGTAGGAATTTTGAAATGGTGTCCTACATCTGAGGCACTCTTCTCGTCTTTGTCAATAGTGGAGACTCTGCGGCTGCTAGGGAACCATTAATCTTACCATTGTGTCCTTCCTCCATGTTCTCACTTACGGTGGTTTTTCGTTCGTTGTAAAGTCGAGCATGCTTGATGCGAGCTTGTAGGCTCTTTTTGTACATTGCTTAGATCTCAGTGTTATTTTAGATCATGGCTTTCATATATTTTGGCTCTCATCGATCTTACCTCTGTCAATTAACTGCGAATTATAAGTCTCGCAACTAAGGGGAACATCTCACTGGTCCACGTCTCAAGTTAATTGGAGGGGGGCAGGTATTTTCACCTTTTCCTTTAGCTGATGTGTCTCGATGCAGATTTCATGTTGGTTGTATTCAGTTTGGCTGAAGAACAAGCTTTAATCAGGGAACTTCTAGTTGTCATCAATTAAATAGGCCTAAATGTGCAATTCCAAGATATCATCGTGACTGTAGGCCTATTAGTGGTACCTTCGGACATGCCGTGAATTCTCATTTTCCAGAAAACCCTAGTTCAGCAGCGAGCAGCCTGAACTCGGCCGGGGGTTTTCTGGCAGGTCGAACCAGGAATTCGAGGATCCGCCAGCTACTGTTATCGCCCTCAGGGAATTTTGTTACGAGCTAAGTGCAGAACTGCAGCCAGGGTTTGACCTTGGCTTGACTGGGTGGTGAGTGGACTTTGCCAAAAGTTTTTTTCAACACACGTTCAGTTTTATAGGGGCTCGAAAGTAGTGAAGCATTCCATTTTGACCAGTTCTGGAACCACATTTTCCCGTTTTAATCGTTCAAATCGGTGCTCAAACACCCGAGTTACTTTAAATCTTTGAGCTGTGGAGTCGTTTGTATGGGTCACAACTTACTCAGCACGCATGCGTGAAAAGCTGCCTTGCAAGTGAATGAATAATTAACATGATCATAGAAATTGTTCCATGCGATATATCATAACATGAAATGGAAGTATACGAAAAAATAATGCGTGTCTGTGTACACATTCTGACCTTAATCGTTCATAATAATATTCTCAATGAATTTAGTGGACACAGCTATAGGGTATTGATCACAAAGTTAAAGTTGGACTGTATGCCTCGCGGACGTAAACGGCACTCATGTTGCAAAATCGGGTGTGTGAATGAAGGCATCATGTGTCTTATACAATACAAAGAGAGTGGTTTTTCATACCATCTAGAATGGTGTCTGCTGAGGTATTTGAGTACAAAAGTGTAACGAAATAATTATGGCTGAAGGTCTCATCGTGCAGGAAAGAGGTCCAGGCAGCAGAGATATATAACTTCAAGTTATAGTTTTAGGACGATGGGAAGATGCAAAGATTAAAAAAAAAGCTTCGATATGGCGCTCAGTACTTCTTGGTACTGAATACCTCCCCCGGTTGTGATTCCGCACTAGAGAGGGACAGGCGGGCGTCCAAGGGGGAAACGAGGCTTCCTGATCGAGGGGTGGATCAAAATATGCACTGAACTTCGCCATTAGAATTGGGATTACGGTATGCACTAAACTTTGTTGTCAGAATTCAGCCGCAGATCAAAACATACGTTAAGATCTGTTGTCGGAATTTTGTCTCCTTATTAATTGCGAGGGCGCATCAAAGTTTTCACTGAACTTTATTCTGAATTCCGCCCCTTTACAGGGAGGGCGATGAACTGACGGTAAAAACTAAACTTCACTCTCAGAACGCTTCTTCAACAAATGATAATTTTAGGAATTACTCCTGCAAGTCTTTTAGGCAACCATATCGACAACGTTTTGAATCTTTTTATACACATTTTAATACCTTTGTGAGTTTACACACGTTATTGGATATATTAAGAAATTGTGGTAGCTTAATTATTTATATAAAGTTCTGTATGGCAATAATGGTTTTATTTCATTAATATTAATGCCCATGGACACCTTGTAAAGTCCACAAACCTGGCGTGCATCAGCAATAATCAGCATTAGGGGTGCTAGTTCAGTCTGGCACCGCACAGACGGAAGTCTAGGCCCCTATCGTCCGCTGATGAATTAAAGTATTCCCCTCCCGATGATCATTATGTGCGAAAATTATTGGTCATGTTGAACCTACAGATTTGCTTTAAAGCAAAAAGGTTTTTTTAAGTTGGTACTCAGTTCAGTCGACCTTTCAGATTCAAAAATGGAAAAATTGTTTTTTTTATTGGTAAAAACTGTTATCTGCTGAAAAAAATACCGAAATAAAAAATACTTGTCTCTGTCCTCCAAATGTTACTTTGCACCAACTTACAAAAATGCCTCAATTAGGTTGCCCTCTTTTTTCCCATTTCCATTCAATCAATATGTACTTAAAATTTAATTCTATGGGAGGAGACTACACTTCAACCTCCATGGAAGCTTCCTTTAAAATAATCCTTTAAAGTAACAATTATCAAATTGTTCAAGTCGAATTTCCCTGGCAATTATACACAAAATTATTTTATTTCGCCTTCACTGGACCGGTACTGTGTACATGTGCTCAATGTGGATGTACGTACATGTACACGTACATGCACTGTACATATGTACATGTGTAGATGCACATGCACATATATGTGCATCCGTACGGGATACGTCCACACGTTGCGTTACGCGTTGGGGGCGGGTTTCTGGAAAACTAGATCTGGCCGCAGAAGGTCGGATCTGGACTAGCCACCCGCAGCTAGTCTGATGATGGATGGTGTCCTTGATGAGAGTAGATGAGGACGTCTTCCCTGGGGTAAAGATAAAATGCAGCTGATGAGATGTTATTTTCTATTTTATCATAATTTTTTTAAGTACACTTTACTGGCCTTGCACCGTCTGAACTGTCAACATCTTTTGAAAAATTGCACGTTGCAAGTGGTTTATGGCGCCCTCTGTTTAAAAATAGAAGGTCGGCCGTTGTTCTCGGGTCTAGGGGTCAATTCTTCATTCGTAAAAATGTAAACAGTTTGTCCAAGCAGTAGCACAGTACTTTTATTATACTATACATAGGCCTACTATTTTAAAAATAGCGCCTTAGCGGTGTGGGCCTACGTGACTCCGTGTACACGATGCAGGCTCATTCATGGTGGAAGTTATGCTGGTGTGTGGTCACATCGGTCGTGAGCAGTAAGAAGGGCCGGGAGTTCACCGGGTCTGAATTTTACGTTTTGGATAACATTGGAGTCGGTAAGCTTATTATAACATAATGGATTGCGTTTTGACATTCCCTAAAACAACTAACATGACTAAGCCTAGCCTGGGCATACAACTTGAGCCATTGCAAGCACTCTGTCCTGTTGCGTGCCATTGCCATTGGCATTGCCTTGTCATGGGTTCTTCCAAAAATGGGTAAAAATTCTGTACTCATGACTCATAAAAAAGTCATATGGCACTCACCCGAACTACATGTATGTGGCAAAAGCACTAATTTATGAAACGCCTAGGCCCAAGGCGTACATGAACCTACGTAGTAATTGTACAATTTTGACATGTTTGAGGCATGTTTGGATGAATTGAGGAATATTTTATGCACTGTACATGATTATATACATGTACTTCAAGCGGTTTTGACGGCCATGATCAGATGATAGTTACTAATACTATGAGAAGCAAAAAATGTGCACAAGAGAACATGAAAGTGAGCACAGCATTGTTTCTGACTGTTTGCCAACTGGACTCTGAACAACTTGACCGTTCAGACAACTTGACCATTCCAACGGTCAGAGCCTCAGATGGACAGCTAGACAACTCAACCAGGACAAATCATTGTGTATGTGTATTGAGAAATGTAGATTTGTTAATTACCCACAGATTGTCAAGCTTGCGCTTGAAAGTCACATTGACCACACCGTTTTTGCAATTAAAAGGATAAAGGACTGGCATGACGGGCCGGGGGGACAGACCGTTTCCCACTCTGGCAGAGTAGCAAGGCTCTCATTGGTGCAACCAAGGTACCTGTGCACTGTGGACTCTGCGCTGCGTCACCATGGCCACAGTGTACATGTACATGTCGACCGGTCCTGTGCACGGCCATGCCTGGTGAATTAAAGAAAACATAATGCGACACGCGCGGAATTTCCCCAGCACTCATTGTGCAATCCATGTTGAATGCCCAAATGTGAGTGAAAACAGTAGCTGATGAGAATGTTACGCCCCAACTTTAGCAGTCCCAACTATAGTTGGGACAGTCCCAACTGCAGTGCTGCAGTTGGGCTGGCCCAACTATTGTTGACCAATGTCTGTGGGAAATGTCTCAACATTATCCAAGTCAATGTTTCTCACACTTGACACAATTCATCTAAAATGTGGCACTTCATCCGTTCATTTAGCCCTATGACCAATGACACGACATTTGTAAACAATATGACTTTGGCACATGCTGGGCACATCATGCGCACAGGACCTATCTACTGTAGTTGGGCCAGCCCAACTGAAGCACTCTGGTTGCGACGGGCCCAACTATAGTTGGGACGGGCCCAACTATAGTTAAAACTGATGCTATAGTTGGGGCGTAACGAACAAAGCTGAACAAAATGCTGCTACTAAGGCCTTAGTAAGGGTTTTTTTTTATGTGTTATTTTTTACCAGTACATTGGGAAGCAAACTCTACAACTTTACAGAAAAAAGATTGTTTTTCAAAAGTTACAAATTTTTCTTTTATACACAGGTACATCGTAGTTTTAGGATGACCGTCGACCTTTAATTGCCATTCAAGCTGAGAAGGCTCTGTTTGCTTTTTGAAAAATTTTAATTGGTGTCAAAAGATGAACAAAGCTTTAAGCATGTTAAGGAGAAATACCATAACAGGAAAATTCTATTGCAGTGGTTCGGGAACAGTGGAAACATTTGACGCCCCCTCCATAGGGTTCAACGTGGACTCAATTTTGAAAATGATGTGACATCTGTTCCTCCATCTGGCCTTAATTTGGAATGCATTTTGTCATGTTGTTTATGGGCTTCCGATCAAATCTCTTAATATGTGACAAAATAATGTTCAAAAGCAGTCAAAAAGTAAAACAAATCTTTCTTATGCTTCAAACGTTCCAGTATGAACATGATGAAAGGGATAGGAATGGGACATATTGAGTAATTACGGCAATTTTTGGAACAACTTTTATGTGCTGAAGTTGTACAAATTCCTTTGACAATCCTTGAGAAATTGACTTTTTGATTAAGCTCTGTCAAGACAAGTTCGAGCAACACTACCAGTACCACTATAAAGACTACATGTACATGCAGTACAGTGGAAGTTGACACTGAGTACAGAGGGCGCTGTTACTTGCAATTGATCTTGATGCTTTTGCAAGGACTGGAATGAAGGGCACAGACAGTGTAGTTATCATGGTTGATGGTAACCTATTCCCCTGAAGACAGTAGTTATTTTTGGGAGTTTTCCGGTATACATGTACATGTAGTTCACTGAGATGGCTTTGTTTGATATTTTCCTGTATTTAGAGTGTTTTCCGGTGTTTAGGGTGTTTTCTGGTAGTTTTTCGGTAGTTTTGCGGTGTTTTTCTGTGTTTTACGGTAGTTTTTCTGTGTTTTTGGTTTTTTTGGTGCTTTCCAGTATACCCATGTTAAGTAATGGATAGGGTTTTCTCCAAGCAATGGATATTTAACCAGTTTTATCGTCCTGCGATGTTTTTGTCGCTGCACTGGCACGAAACTGAACATGCATAGTGAGCATGGTGAGTGCTGTTGAATAGACGTACATGTACATTGTACATGTAGCGTGACAAATCGTTGGGTCCATGCTTTTAAATGCATGTACTGTGCATGAATTCCGTGTGAATTTCCCCAAGATGGAATTCAGACCAAAAAGAATCCTGTAAAGCCCCAAATCCTATTATCACCATCCTGTTATCTGAACAAAATGTAAGTAGATGGCAGCTGAGGTGCACATCACAACTTGGAGGCTGGTCAGCCTTAAATAAACTTTATTTGGAGACAAAACCAGGGGCCAATTTCATAGAGTTGCTTAAGCACAAAATTTGCTCAATTGTGAAAAACCTTACTTAAAAAACAAAGGTTACCGGCTTCAAAATCTCTGTGTAATTGCTAACCAAAACACAGCTACCGGTACATGTACCGGTAAATACATTTACATACTGTCTATGTACGATCCCAAAATAATATACACCTCATCGAGTTTTGGCTGGTTACCTGATTTATCAAGCAAGGTTTTCTTGCACTTTTAAAAGCAAATTTTGTACTTAAACAGCTCTATGAAATTGGCCCCTGATCCCTAAAAGAAAGAATGCCTTCGTAGAAAGGGGACTTACACGTATTTCCCAAGTGTGCCTAAACAAGAAAAAAGGCTTTAATTAATTTTTTCCATTCATTTGGTACATGTATAGTAAGTTTCAGTGATTTTTATGAGTTTTGTTCAAATTAAATATCAAGCATTCTTGGGCATTGGCAAAGTTTTCCTTTAAGGTAAAATAGCCACATTAGTTGCTTTCGATCCAACTACATGTATGCCCAGCGTAAGCGTCTCCCTCAATCTGCTCCTGCCTCCACCAGTATTCTCAGCAATTTTCGGTGTGCCTTTCTGCTGCGATATCTGGCTTTTTTGCCATCTTTCTGCTGCATTTGCCCAATGTCACCTGCTCTTCAGGGAGAGAGAGGCATGAAGAGGCAGTCTAAGGGATGATCCCACAGTTCAACCTTCTTAAATTGACTGTCCTATTTCTAAATGCTTCCTAAGAGGCAACCAGAAGCCCTGTTCCACCCGTCATTTGTGGAGCCGCCCGGTAACACTGTTGTATTGATATTCAGACAAATTGTGATGATGCAGTCTTTTTCTAATCCTTCATAACCCATTATAGACTCCTGCTTGTATAAGTTGTAATCCTAGAAGAAAACAGTATCATTTGGGGGGAAACAGTAGCTTATGGTGCTTTCTTCTGCTGAATCTACTGGTAATTACGTCACTGATTGTATCCTCAGAGCAATGGTAGGATCCACAAGCCTGCATGTAAAGAAACTTCCTATTTTGGGAGACATTTGCCCCTGTGAGGGAATGATTTTAGAGACTTCTCCAAGTTTAGGAACTGTCTCCAAGTTGTGATGTGCACCACAACTGGTGGGGTTCAAAGATGAAACCCTGGTAACATACTTTAGTAGGGTTTACTCCGACGTAACAGATTTTAAAGAACAGTGTTCTAAAACCCCTCACCTCCAATCAATGGTTGTTATGGTAACAGAGGATGATATTCAGCATTGGATCCAAAACATTTTCAAAATAAAATGTGCATGGATAATTCCAGAAATTTTTTAGGGGTCTGTTTTTTGTGTCCTTGTCATATCTGACATATGATTTTGTAAACTTAAGAACACATTTTCTAATTTCAGTGAGTGATGAATTGATGAAAATTATCTGCCAAACAAATAGTAATAGTTTGAAATCAATTCTGGTTATACATGTACAGTTGTATTTCCATGTCAAATAACTAAGGTCAAATGTAACAAGGACACAAAAATGTCAAACATTGGATCCCTCATTTCTGAAATTACCCACATACAGAAAACGTCCTTTGAGGATTTTTTTACAGAAATACATGTACATGTACCGTACATATCCAATGTAGTCTTGAAAATCCATCCACAGTCTGGGGAAAATCTGCCACATGTTTCTAAAACAGAGATCTCACTGTAAAACAAAAGACACTGTTTCCACTCACCACAAGATTATAGATTTTTGAATTTTATTTGTTTTCATTTCAGTTTGGATGACTGCTGAGCACAATGGAGATACCACATCAATCTAGTGAGAGGACGTCCTCCTTGCCAAAAATGGCACATGCCATCCCTGCCATTTCTCAGTCGGAAAAGTACGCCCTGGCATTTCAGCTGGTGAGACAGCTGATTGAGGTACAACCAGTGATGTTTGAGAAGAGAATCGCAGTGCTGCGCAGCATCAAGGAGGCCTGGCAGAAGAACAAAATGGTTGTCATAGTAACAGATGAGGAAAGTGCTGGTAAGATGTTGAAAATGAAAGCTGCAAATCCATCACAAGTCAGCCAGTTTATACCCTGTCACAAGCTACACTGCATTAAAGTTTCACAGAAATTGAAAGCACATGGAGTTCATTTGAGGTATTTTAAAATAACAGTAAATACATAATCATTTCAAAGACATTATAAATTTAATGTTTACCCCAATAATTGTGACCCCAAAATGAATAAAAAGATCCTGCATTTCTCACGAAAAGTCCCCTTTAGGCCTTTCGCACTGCCAGGCTGATTGGATGACGTCATTACCAGAACGCCTTCATGTACAGCTTCCATGTACAGTGTGCATGTCCAGTACATAGCGCACAGCACATGCAGTATCATACGCTTGCAATAGACCACGTTGTGTTTGATGTCACATGGCCTACAGGCAAACACCGTCTCAGTTCAAGGTAGAAATTACAAGACCCAGTCCTATCGTGTATTTCTTGAACTGAGACAGAGTTTGCCTGTTGGCTTAGCTACAGTGTACATCCAACACAGCGTGGTCTACTGCAAGTGTGCGATACTGCCATGTACATGCACTGTGCGCTCTGCAAATGTACACTGCATACATGCATCATGCTGGCGATGACATCATCCAATCAGCCTTGGAGTATGAACGGTCAGAAGGGGTTTTTTGTGGGCAGGAGAAACACAGGATCTTTTTATTCATCTTGGGGTCACAATTAATGGAGTAAACATTAAATTTAGGATGGTTTTGAAAAGGTTACGTATTTATTGCTATTTTAAAATACTTCATGTGAAAGAAATGCTTTCAATTTCTGTTAACCGTTCAAGATGAAGCGTGACAGCAACATTAACACTGTATGCTTAGTGCTTACCCACGAGTAAGTAAGCAGGAGGTCGTGGGTTCGAGTCCCACCCGAGTAAGCTTGTGACTTTTTTCGCAAGCTCCCGGACAAGCACTGAGCATACAGTGTTTATTATTATATATATGTACGTTGGGTAAAGGTAAAACCCGTTATATGAATTAAGCATTAACCCATTGTCAAATTTCACTTTATTACTGGTCTTCTGAAATGATACACTTGTACATGTATGACGATGGAGAAGGTTGACAGAACGCTGCCCATAAATGCACTTGAAATAAACTTGCATGCACATGTGCACGTACTTGAAGATAAAACTTACCAGAGTCCTTCTAAATGAATGGTAAATGACTGCATGTCATTTGTAGGAATGCTATTGTTCGTGTGTAATTATTGCAGTGCGAGTGTTCTGGGGGGGGTGATTTTTTTCCTCCCATTTAGGGTCACTGAGAAAAGTGCTTTTTGTGAACGACAAGACAATGACAAGTGAATGTACTTAAATTTCAGAGACTACCTTTGTCTAGCACTTTATATAGCACTACACTGATGTTATGCATCACTGTAAAACATGATAAGTAATCATTCAATCAGATGATGTAATGCAGGCCCAGTGAAATACCACTATCTTCCAGGTGGTCTTAAACGTTTGCAAATGACTGTATTTTTATTTGATAGGCAGGTAATTTGCAGCACATATTCAATCTTGGAAATCAAAACAATGAGTTCAAAACATTAAAAAATCAGACGTCAGACGTAACAAGGACTGGGAAAATTGGACCCCAATTTGTAGAATACCCCAAATGCACATGACATACATTTACATGTATACTGTACACTGTCTTTCAATCAAATGGGATTTGAATAGTAATCGGGTTTGTTATGTTGGATAGCTTTGAGTAAATGGCTCACATCACCTCTACAGTGACCCGTGTACTCAGAAAGACTGAATAGTGAATTGTTGCCTGTCTGCAATACATGCAGATGATTGTAGGCAGGGTTTTCCTTTTGTCGTTTACATAATAGTTCACAGCAGTGTTAGGAATGAAATGACAGGTGCAGTATTACTGAAGACTTCCAGTTCCTCAATTGATATTCAGTTTTTAACATCTTGCTTGACTTCTAGCAAGTTGCAAAGCTGTTGGAGCATGGCTTCCTCTCAACACTACCATCAAGCAAGAATCACACCAGCCTGATGAAATCCACATGCTCAGAATTGGTAAGATTCACTTGATACATTTACCAGTCAAAAACAAAGAAAGGCTAAAAGATTCAAGAAATGAGAATTCTTGGAATCTGCCTTTTATTCTGAATTTTGTCATAACAGTGCCCTTTGTAATGAGGAGAACTGTTGAAAGTTTTGTTTCATCACACAGAAGGCAGATAGATGATAGACTTTGGACAAAATATAGGAGTAATTATTAAGCTGAATGCAAATGAGAGAATGAGGCAAATGCGGAAGATCAAGTCTTCTACAAATATGCCTTTCATTATGGCATTTGAGTTTTACATGTGTAAGCCAGAAATGAAATTGCCATTTAGTAATTTCACCACTGTGCTGCGCTAAATCCTTTGCTGAATGTTTGAGAAGTTTTGATTGCTTATCAAATATTACCATCCCTTTCCTTCAGAAACATCCCTTACAATAATAAACTCCCCAAAGTTCCTTTTGTTAAATAAACCATCATTCCCTTAGTAATGAAAAAGAATAAACAGTTTATGTACGAGAACTCGCCCATATCTAAAGTCACCAAAGACCAGCTATAAGATCCTTCTCCTATTAATTACAAAGAAACAGAAATACATCTGTGACCCGCTCTGCAAAAAAGAGTAATAAGTCATGCAATGCCAAAACATGTTATGGCCTGTTCTATTTGGGCGAAGTTTCTTCAAAATGGGATTTTGTGTTTTTTCCTAAAACAGCTTCTATAACATTCATATTTTCAGAATTTGTGACTACCAACACAGATACTGATAAATATTGATAAAAAAATGATCATTCAGTAGGAAACCCTACATAGCATTGTGTTTCCAAGTGCTACACTTTATGAGCTTTTCTCGAAAAGTGCTTTTATTGAATCCGAAAATGTGGATATACGGATGTCCATATATCTCCAGAATGCAGCGCACTACAGGGGTCATTCATACATGTATATTAAACTGTAGCTTTTGATGTACAGACTCAAGCCCTACCAAAAACCGGTATCCTGAATCTGGCGACTTATTACCCATTTTCCTAGAGCCGGTCACATTTCCATTTCGGAAATAAAATTGCAGTCCACCATCCTCACAAATTACCCCTCTGCCTCCTTCCCCATCTTGATACACCTCTCATTCCCAGTGGGATTGGAGTGTTGCAAAAACCCAACAAGTGTGTGATGGTTTTCCAACACTTGGACCTCATGGAGAATAAAGTTATGTTGATGGAAGGGCAAAACCTAGCATATAAATCTAAAATTTGTTGGAAAACTGAAGTTGTTTCCTTTTTCATGTTTTGTAACCGTCTCAAATTATGCAGGTAGCGAGTTGGACAAATGCAGGCTCTTTGATAAGATAGGAAATTACAGAGCCTTAGTGAGGGTCAAGAAAATCAACCCATCAGAAATTACAGGCCTTCAGTGTTCACCAGAGGAAGGGGCTAAAATGAATCCCTCATCATGGCAGGGGAAGGGTACTGCAGTTGAGGAAGGTCATTTTCAGACTGGAAGTTTATTTGAGGATGACACAACTGATGAAGGAGATGTCACCCTGGACACCTGTCGGGACGATAGGAAAAGAGGCGGTCACAGTGATACTGAGGAAACCATGGAAGGCACTGGTACCAGTAGAATTTTAAGATCCAGTAAATCCAGACGCAGTGGTAGCAGTGAGCCAGCGACCTTTGATTGCAGTAGGTGCAAGCGAGCTTTTCACTTTGGGGAGTTTTCCGCCGACCGGCCTTTCCAATGCCCACACTGTCAGCAGAGGGCAAGCCGAACTCAGACGGAAATTTGGACTCCCCCACCAACTCTGGGAAATGCAGCTGATTTGCCCAGCACTGTGGCCTTGACAAAGTCAGACAGGCCATTTCCATGTTCAAAGTGCCCCAAAATATTCCAGCAGAGGGACAATTTGACAGAGCACATCAGAAGCCACAACAGAGATAAATATAGGCCTTGCCGTTGCTTCATGTGTGGCAAAAAATTTTTCACCCCCAGTACTCTGAAGTCACACATCCAAAAGTTCCATCGGAGAAAGCTCACCCCCAAAACCAGTGTTATGTCTGCACAGCCCCTCAGACATGTCAGGAAAAACTTGATCTCAACCAAAAACACACCCATGTCTGAAATGGTCCAGATGTCTGAAGCAGGTGTTGCAAAAGAGAGTGAAACAGACCATCATCACCCCTGCAGCTCAAAGACACCGGAGACAATTCCACGTTCCAAGCAGTTTTTTCTTCAGAAAGAGCATAATGATGCCAACAGTCCAGCTGGTCACTCCAAATCGGATGAGAGCCAGCACGCACCTGTAATGAAAGACATCCACAAAAAGTACATGTACAAACGACTCCATGTAAGCAAGACAATCCAAACTGGCTTCCAGTGCAAGTTGTGTCGCCGAGTTCTGTGGACTTTTCAAAGTTTAAAGACCCATCATCAAGCATGTCATAAATGCACCATATGCTCCAAGGTTGTGTCCAACATCGGTAAACACATGCACAGTCACAGTAACAAGAGACCTTTTCATTGCCCTGAGTGTTCGATGCGGTTCAAGCAGCCGGCAAACCTCAGAAGGCACTGGGTCACTGTCCATCATAAAAACTTGTTCAAATGCCATCACTGCGTCAGGGTCTTTCTACATCTTGGTGCTTTGAGACAGCATGAGAAGCATTCCCATCTGGGGATGGAACAAAGAAGCAGCGAGGAGGACCCTTCAGAAGCAGCCGCAATGAACGCTAGTCATCGGTGTCCATACTGCCCCAAGACCTTCACCCTGAAAAGGAGGCTGGTGGATCACATCGCCGCACACACCAATAACAGAGTGTGGGTCTGTAAATTCTGTGACAAGCCATTTAGGTTCAGGGCCACGATGAAAAAGCATGAGAGAACTCATAGTGAATTTACAGCTTTAAACAGTTGTGCCGAGAGCAATGTCTTCTCAACTAACACTGCAAAGGGAAAATTCTCTGAAAAGTCACCACAACGATTGGATAAGGGATTGGCTATCATGAAGTCACATGTGCCAAGCCATGGTTGTGTTGATACCGGTACAGCTGCTCCAGTCTCCGTTGCTTCATACGGAAGCCGTTCCTCTGGGACCGGACTGGAGCTTTGCTGTCGAGTCTGTGGAATGTATCTTTCCTCCCGTTTTCGTCTCGAGAAACACGAGAAGCTCCACACCACGAAGCAGTCCCTCTCCTGTCATATCTGCAGAACGCTGTATTTTTCCAATGGGCACGTGATGTCAGATCTTTGCAAACACATGAGACCAAAATTCGAGAGGCCCAGGAAGAAAGCCAGGACAGCGGAAAACAACTTCCTAGTAGCCTAGTGGAGCATGAGAGAGTTCACTCAAGAGATGAGAGACCATTTTGATGTAACATTTGCTACGCTTTTTTCCCAACAAAATCTGCCTGGTAGAGTCATCAGACTGATGAACATACATGTAGATCACATTCTGGAAACAGGACCACTGAAGTAACTTTTAGCCGAGGCCCGTAAATGTATGTTGCTGAAACGTTGAGCTCTCTTCATGCAGTAGGTTTGATTGAAAGCCTTTAGGATAATGTGCCTGATACTACCCATGTCAGGGAATCTGCATGCATCAGCCATATCCTTGAATTATGCCAGACAAGTCCCATGCTCTGCATCAAGGTCTTAAACACATCTATGTAGCCATAATGACACCGAGCTTAAGGTCAGCCTTACCAATACACATCACCTTACGGGTGAAGATGCCAGTCGCATGCTGCAGCCATATTGCGGAACCATCTGGCTCAAATATATGCACCCTCTTATCAAAGGGTTCACACAGTGCATTTGTTCCTTTAAGTACATGTACACTTTTGTGTCTTGCATGCTCCTTCTTTCTTTCCTATATATTTTGCTGGCCTCATGCAACTCTGCTTGATAGAGGGATTTCACATTAGGGCCGTCTGCGCATAACCGACACAGTACATGTACATTTAGTGTCTGGTTCGTAAGTGTGATGTCACTTCAGTTTAAACCGCGCCCAGTGCACATGCCGATGCACGACCATCGCAGGCATGTTGTTTCGCGGTAAATCATCGTTATTTTTTTATTTCACGTGTCAAGTCATCCTGAAAGACTCTTCCACAAATCTTTGCAGCCTGAAAAGTCTGAATTCACCATACATGTACATGTATTTGACTTAACTCCGTGGTTTCAATCATCTGATCTTATTAAGAATGGAAGCCGACACATAGATGTACATGTACAGCCTCGTTTTCAAATGTGGAAGTACGCAGATCAATGCGTATTGGGATCCCTCTATTGAGTCGTGTAAGTGCATGGCAATCAACAAGCTAGTGTCAAAATTAGGCACGTTTCTTTCAAACGCTGCTTTTATTTTAATCAGCTGATTAAATTGGAGTCAGCAAATCTTGAAAATGGACACACAGAATGATCAATATGCCTTGGCTTTGATATTTGAGTTCCGGAAAAACAATGTAAATTTTAAGTTGGAAACAATTTCACATTTTAAGCATACCAGTAGGGTCGCATCAAAAGATTTTCAAACGCAATTTGCTGAAAATAACCCTTGTCCCAGTTTGTATGTCATGTAATTGTACATTTACAATTCTTCCTTGTTTTGACATAATTGTACCACATCGCCATTGTTTTCAATGAGAAAATTTTGGTTTTCATGATTTTAATTGAAATATCTGTAACATGAAATGTGTTTTCCCCTGATTTGGTATCACAGCGCCAGGAGAACTTTGTGTATAAATATTCATGAATCATGTTGATCAAGATAGATATAAATATTCATGAATTGTGTTGATCAAGATAGTTATAAATATTCATGAATCATGTTGATCAAGATAGATATAAATATTCATGAATCGTGTTGATCAAGATAGTTCCCACCATGTGCTGTCCGTAAACATCGTATAGATTTCAAGAACTGATGACATTTTCCTTGCTTCTTAAGCATATCTGATGACTTCAAAAAAGTTAGCATCCTATTGTCGGGTTCAACAACAATTTTCATGTATTGTAGCTACATATACTGTACATGTATAGTGTTAGTATTTTTATACAGTGTACAGAATGGTAATATTTTTTAATTAAAAATTGTGAATTTGCAATATTCTGACATAGTTTAGGCACGACAACAATCGTGTATTTTTTTAATATTTCTTCTTTAAACTGACTCATGCTTCAGGTTCAAGCAGATGGCATTAAATCTCCTTCTGCTAATCTTCGGATGCCTTTGTTTTCACACCAAAGTTGCTTACTATACATGGTCAAATATGTGTCGAACTAAAGAGATATTCTGCATTATTTGTGTGATTGCTTAGATGTCATCTGATAACATCAAATGTTTTCAATTTTAACCAGAAACTTAAAAGCCGGTTGGCAGTAATTGTATTAGTGTTGAAGCTGCTGAAACATGCACACTGTGTGCAGACTAGAGCTGGGAAAAAGCTGAAGCAGAAGGAAATGGTGGTCGTGTTTGCTGCCACCAAGTGTTTTTGCAGTCTTGTACAGTCCATAATCTAAACTACCTCACTGAGATCTGTATTCTACTTGTTGAGATCCTAACATTTGTTTTAAGAGGGCAGTACGGGAAAAATGTTGAGTATATCTACATTGTGAGATAATTCTGAGATGGTGATATTCTGAAGTGGTTTACAAGCGGTTCACAAACATTTCTTTACTGGGTTTGCCAAGCTATTTAACAAGGATATTGTCCTAGTATCTCGATGGATTAATTTCAGAATGTAGATTACCTACTGCCAGGAGTCCAGAGAGCACAGTTATTTCAGAATATTGGTCATTTCAAGATGATCGTAAATTTTTTCCAAATTGCCATTTTTGTAAGTAATAAATCCCATTATAGTCATCCTTTCATCATTCTGAGGCAACAGGGATCTCAGCAGTGTGTAAGAATTTTAAAGAACATTAGTTGTTCTAAATTCTAAAACGATGTATCATTAGGTCTTCCGTATAATTCCTCCGTACGTTTTTAAGCAGCGTACATGAAATTTGCCTGTATTTTTTATACTGGGTGATAAGCAGGTTATAGTTGTTTCATGATAGTACATGAACTTCATTTCTAATTAGTTTTGCTATTTTTTAAAGGGTCTTAGTACTTTTAAGGGTTTTGTGATTATGGCAGTTTACACCTTCTTGAGCACAATGTTGATATTCTGGGTAAAAACTGCAATATTTTTAATACATATGCTGTGCTCAGACAGTACTAGTAGATTTTAATAATTATATCCCTAGATGTTTTATCTCATCTTCCTCGTTGATTTTCCGTTGTTTGAGTACATGTTCAACCCTTGCTGTGAAATGTTTTCAGTGGGTTTGCAATTAAAACAAAAATACCTGTCAAATTAGTTTACAAGTGGTCGAGATATTTCATCGCCTGGACCCTTAAAAAAATAATAGCATGTCGAAAGAGACACTTTTCGATTTCCCCCGAGAATATCATTTTTATGGAAGGGGAGAAACATAGAAACATGATAAACAAACCATTGCTCCCAAAGCGTAATAAGTAATTAATGTAAAATTACAATTTCACAAAGAAGGTTAAAGAATTGGACATCTGAAGAGCTGGGCTTCTAGCCAAGTTGCTGATGGCTGATTGATTTTTTTTTTGGGGGGGGGAGTTATTTAGAATTCTAATCCGCGGTAATTGGACAGATTGTGAACAATCAATGATTTAATTAATAGTGTACATTTCCCCATTCGCGCCGAAGAAAATGGCCATTTGGCTGAGAATTTTCCTTTGACTGTTGGAGAGGGCTAATGCGCCCTCGCCGGCCGTAATGTTGTAAAAGTGATCACAATGACCAATACAAGTAAAAAGGCCATTATTTGCCCGACTTTGTTTCTGATGGACGGCAAAGCACCAAGTTCAGCATAATCCGGGGCATATTTTTCCTTGATATATTCTTCATTCTCTCCATGCATCGGTTCTTTGCTCTTTTTCCTTGTCTTTTTTTTTTCATGATAAAATTTCCAACATGGGTCAGAATTGCAATTGATGCCCATGGCCCAGTGTAATAAACCGAACGTTATTCGGAGAAAACATAACTTATAAATTAAAAAAAGAAAAAAAAAATCTCTGGACATCGAGGCCAGGAATGTGGCAACAAGGGATTATATCGATCTTCGGCCGAACTTCTTCTAGTTGCCGAGGACTTGCAGTCAGTTAATCATACATAGCTAACACAGCCAACGGGGGAAGTAAGCCATCATTTCCAAGGTATTTCCAGAAAGTGGCGATGTTCATGTCCTTTCTAAATCTGTTTCCCCCACCTTTTTTGTTTTGTTCTTTAAATTTGCTGGAGGTTTTTGCTTTTCTTTTTAACTTCACGTAAATCCGAAAGCGGGGATGTTAATTAACCCCACTTGACCGGATGATGGGATATTTCATGTTCCCCCGCCCTCACTTTTTTATATTGAGAAAAAACACAGCAGACTGTGAATTAGTTTTCGTACTTGTAAATATTACCAAAATTTATCCAACAGGACTCAAATAGAGTGAACAATTATTTTTTTTAAGTAATACGTCTTTTTATGTGAGGTCCGGTTCCTCAAGAGTTGATCGATGTCTCTGTACTACACAGCGCCCTCAATAGGTGAGTTGTACGTATGCGCGATTTGCAGAATATGACCTTGAACCTTTGGCTGCATCCGGCCGACGAATCTCTTATCTAGAGCTAGGTCTAGGACTTCGCTCTATTGGAAATGCGTGGAGACACGCAGACGATAGACCTAGCCGTAGCCCTGGAAGCCCGTTTCGGACACGGCCTTTGAAGCTCGTTAAGTTTAGAGTTACCGCGCAAAGAGTGTGGGTGTCGTGCAAGTAGGGCCTACCGTTCCTTTCACGGCCAAGTTTTGCTGAATAGTGTTCATCTAAAGGTAACGGGTGTGTGTTTTGTTTCAGGAATCTTTGTGCCCCTTGCATGTCTAATCAATTAAGTACGTGTTTTTAGGAACACGTTTAACTTGGACAATAGGGCTTTGCCTTTGGACCCATTTCGTCATGTTTGTTATTGACACGATTGAAGCATGGAGGTAGAATCACATTGAAGTGGCCGGTGAGGCAGGCTTTATCAAAATTCATGCAGCATTGCACAATTTGCAGGTCAACATGTCATTTATGTATATTTTGGAAGAGTTCCATGTACGGACGCCAAACCCTATGATTCATAAGTATGAGATTGGTCCGAAAAAAAAAGTGTTTTCTGTTAATTGTTGATAGGCCTACGACAGCAAAAACTACTAACTAGTACTGCTAGGGCTACATACATGTAAGCCTAGCCCTGGTGGACTCCCTGACCGTACTATGTTATGAAATGAAGACAACATCCAACCTTGGCTAATGTAGGCCTAGGCCTACCTCTGCCTGGACCCCAAGTGGGGAAGAGTTCCACATTGACAGAAGCCGTGACATAAGCCCTGTTGCGGGTGAGTGATTTTGCGCAACGGTTTGCGGTCAAAATGCATTGGAGGAAGATAAAGGGGGCAATGTTTTATTGTTAGCTCCTTTTTCTTTCCCACGATGCCTTTTTACCGTCGGGCAAAATCACTCACGCATCAGCAATAAGGCTTATTCCCTTCTTTACCAAGACTACAGACATTGTCAATTACCAGTTTACTTTAATGTGCATGAGTGTTTTTGGCAACATGTGCTTATAAATGTTACTCTACGACTAGAAGGCTGGTTCCATGCCTACCTCTACATGTGTGTACTGGAGCATTGTCATTGTAAATTCATATTGACATGGTGGAATTCAGACTGAGTAGGCTACAATTTCAGACTGTTTCCCTGAAAAACAAACAAAAAAAATCAGAAAGAATGTCTTAAATGCTGCATCCACTCTTTTCATCACCCATGATCTCAGTAAAGGTTAGTCCCTGCTCAAATTTTTAAATGCCGTGAATCATGTTTTGTATTTTCTAAGAAAATACTTCAAAAATGCCCCTTATCCCTCCATAGACTTTGTGTACAACCAACAGATACATGTACTAGAATATGTAGAGGCCCCAGAACCACAGATCCCCAAAAACAAATATCCTGAAATTTAACTGACAAGTCGATTTTAACTAATTTAAGGAAGATGTTGGGATTTGGGCATGGGCAAATTACATGTATACCTAATTTCAACTTGCCAGCATGGCCTGGTTTGAATCCATTATAATGTATATATACCACTGACCTACAGGCACACAAGGACAGAATCCAGTAATTACGGTAGGCCTACAGTTTTAGGTTGGCCTATTGGTTTAGTTCCGTTTGTTTCACAAAACATCTGACCAAATCAGGGCAAAATATACCTTTTGTGAAAGAAACGACTAAATCTGCAAAAAAAACATCTGATCAAAATTTCAATTTTACATAAAATTTCAGTTTGGATAACTCTTGGGCACCATGGAGGAATCGGTTTTGTCCACAATGACCAACAGCAACCATGCCAATGCATCGTTGACGCAGTCAGACAGGTATGCCATCGCATTTCAGCTGGTCACCCAGCTGGTTGAGGCACCACCTGAGGCTTTCGCCAAGAGAATTGCCGTCCTGCGCAACATCAAGGAGGCCTGGGAGAACAGGAAGGAAGTTGTCATGGTAACAGAGGAGGAAAACGTTGGTAGGTTTACTAGCACTCAAACATGTACTTGGCATGATGCTGTCTAAGTGAGTAGGCCTATTGGAGGCAATTAAACTTTTTCAAATCAACAGAGGAGTAGTGGATGCAACGTTTATAAAAAGTTCGGCCATGACCTTTGGCATGACACATTTAAGATGTGCATCTAAATATGGATGATTCTCAGTACCGTGTACCACCAACAATGGCCACAAAAAGGCCATTTTTCGCAGTGCATTGTGGGAAATGGTTGACAAATTTTAATCTCCCGCTCAGGCTGCTTGTGGCAAACTTGAATATTTTTTTCCCAATATTTGCCAGTCCAGGAAGAACATTTCATTATTTTTTGTGAGGCGGGAGAATGGTGTTTCACTGTGTTTTTAATATACATGCACTCCCGTACCTGATCCTGTTTACTCGCTGTACACAAACAGCGCCCTCAAGTGTTACTGTGTGTTCCAGAACGTGGTGAATATATCAGGTGAGCTCTTTCCGAATCTGCATGACTGAAGCCACTCCCACAGTGTCGCGATACATGTCTGGGTGTACCACACTTGTAAAGTACATGAGCCTTAAAACCTGATAATCCTGTTCCATAAATGGTCATTTTTTGTCAGCCGCAAATTGGGAACATGACTCTATTGTGAATCCTCCATATTAAGTGTTTGTTCGGCGCCCGAACAGGGCACTGGGAAGGGCTGATGGCCCTGCACAGATTTTAGTGAAGGAACTATGTCACGCGGTGTCACAGCTAACGGCGCGCAGAGCATTGTGGGTACATTTCTGCCAGGCGCTCGAGCTCGCTCAATGCAGTACAAAAGCGGCAGTTATCAATTTAATATTTTTTTTTTCTTCCGCATCGCTGAAAATATTCTCACTCCACTTTATTCGTTCATCCAAAATTGATCGAGATATAACCAATGATTTGAAATATATTGCCAAAATACACGTGATAAGTGATAATTTATGGGAAGATACATGTGAATTACCACACTGAGATTGTTCCAAGATCATATTCTTATTCTAGCGGAGACTTTGCCCGTGTCAAAGCATTGCCATTGGCGAACCAAAACATTTAAATATATGTAACGCTCGCTAACAGGAAGTGCTAACCGTCACTGTCACGTTGTGCAAAATGTAGCCAATCACAGTGCAAAGCGATCAGCCCTTCCCAGCAGCAACTAGTAAACCTCAAGTGTTGTTGGCTGTGAGGGTATGAACAACGGAGGGCATGTTTATTGTTACGTGTATTGCAGAGCAGAAGCAGTCCTTTTACAGAGAATGTAAGACGGTAAATGCAATTAGTGCAGGCTTAACAAGTCTCCACCCATTTGACAATGTACCGTAGTCTTTGTATTTGCACGAGTCTGTTCCACAACCTCCAAGCAGCTGCCGATGTTTTTTCCTCTTCAACTCGGGACGGATCTATTGCAATACAACTGCATCTGGTGGAATTTCGGTGCCATTACCAAATCCACAGCAAATTTGATTGAATCAGCGAATTTGATAAATCAATTTGATAAACAAATTTGATAATTTGTCTTCTTTTGTAGTGTCTTACAAAGCATTACCAGAACGTGAAGAACTTCCAACCCCTGTCAGCCTCATCAAACAAGAATTAAATGAACCAGCGGTGCTAGGAACTGGTAAGATTTTGTCGCTTCCTTAATTTTGTTTCTTGTCCTTTTTAGACAAAAAGAACTTTCCAAACCCCAAGCCCTCTGTCGTGAAATACAGGAACCGGTACATATAGAGGACTGT